TATATATATATATATATATTGTAACGACCCACCTAACCGTCGCACAACAAGTCAATATAAAAAAAATATCCACCTAGTTACACTAAGTAGCCATAGACAACAAAACATCAACTCCATCTGCCAGCTGCAGTCCTGCTATTACACTCCAACCTATCCCTGCTCTGCTACCATATATAGTATGATCATTGTAGTCCAACCCACATGGAAACAGGCAAGGGTAAACTAGTGAAAAGAATCAACATATACATGAATTATACGCAACTTCAACTTAACAGCACATTATCAAATTCAACAAATTTGACATACAACACATAACAGCATACATTTATATCTCAGCTTCACAGCACACTACACACATACAACTCACATCATTCAGCAACATCAACATCTAACAGCTTATATGTTGTCACGCATTTCAACTAGGAGATCTCCTCTAGTCTTAGTGATTAACAGCTCAGCCTTACGGCCTACCCAACTCATATTCAACAACACAACTCAACTATTTTAAACAGCACATTCAACACTCACCACAGCTCAGCTTAACGGCATTAGTCAGAAATAACAGCACACAACATAGCTCGGCATAACAACATTCATCAGCATAAGCATTATACAGCACGACTCAACTTTACATCATACAGCATTAACATCATTAATTAGCATAGTTATAAAAAATAAAAAAAACACATTCGCGCCCGGCGCAATAGGATTTGAGCCCGGCCTAGACCAACTAGAGAGCTCCAAAGCTCTTACGCGCCCGGCGTAATAGAAGGCAGAGACTCTCAAGAGTCTCACAAGCCCGGCATACCAAACCCGCGCTCGACGCAAGTAAGGCAGAGACCTCCCCAAGGTCTCACGCCCGGCTCAATACCAATTGCGCTCGGCGCCACCCCTAGCAGAGACTCCCAGGGAGTCTCAACGCCCGGCGAGATCTAATCACGCCCGGTGCCACACCAGAAACCCAACTTCTTGAGTCCATGTCTGATGTCACGCCCAACGCAGTTCTCCCACGCCCAGCGTGAGCCATCCAGGAGCCTTCATTCCCAAGCTCGCCCGGCGTGCTTGAACAATGGAACTCCCTGATGGTTACACGCCCGGCGCCAAGAACTACGCCCGATGCAATTACAAACAGCAACCCTCAAACTTCGAAAATTTCACTCAAAACTTGCAAAATCAACCAACTCAAACACATGC